ATAAGTTTCCATTTTAACCAAATCCTACCAGCCGAAGAAAAACCAAAATTGTTACAACAACCCTCTTGCTGAAAAATTATGTGATTAGCATCAAACCAAGGATTACCAACAAGACCAGCTTTCACTTTAGCTTCCAAAATATAACAAAATTCAGTTTTAAACTTAAGAACAAGGTATTTATAAGCTTTAAATAGTTAAAGCCTCTCACATTCCAAGAAATAATATTTGGAAAAGACATTAATATTTTAGGTTCGAAGTAGAAGCCTTTCGAGCTACTTTAGATCTAGTAGATTTACTAGTAGCAATTGGTAATTTAAAACCAGATTTATCAGCATTAGACACTATAAAAGTAGAGATATAAATTGAAGATGACATCTGATTAAGAGCATTAGCATCTTCCTTAAAATCATTTAAATCTCCAATAAGAGAATCAAGAACCTGAAACTTATTATGAGTATTAGAAATATCCACAGAAGATTTAGATAAAGAAAGAACATTAGAAGTTATAGAAATATTGTTTGAGTTGAGATTAGTAATAATCTCTTCCGTAGTCAATTTTAAATTAGGCAAAAATTCTATTAAAGAGGTTTTCTCCTCATTATCAGAATTAACCACAGCATCCGACTTTCCAACATCTTGAACCAATTCCCGAAGAGAATTATTATCAATCATAGAAATTAAAACAATATCAGAACTAGTATTAATAGAAGAAGCTAAAATAGTATCATAACTGGTATTAATAGAAGAAGCTAAAATAGTATCGGATAAAAGAGGATTTGTAGTAAGTTTAACCGGCTTTTTAACCATAAAATTTTGAGGATTCTTGGAAGAGGAAGGTCTTACAGTACCATCTTTTTCAAATTTACTAACCTTGCTCCTTCCCCTAGTAGGATCCGAAATAGAAATTTGCTTCTGCTTATCCTCCTACGGCTTAGAAGGACATAACAAGTAAGGATGAATAACATATCCACATCCTTGACAAGAAATGAGTTTCCAATCATACTCAGCCTTAATTAAAAAAATATTTCCCATAATAGAAATATTAACTTTATCAAGAAGATAATAATTTTCAGAAACTAGAACACAAACCCTAGCAAAAGTAAGATGAATCTGCTCAGTTGTTAAAGAATCAACAACAATCAGTATACCAATAAGACTAGCAATATTTGAAATACCTTCCGGCGTCCAGCATACTAAAGGTAAATCTAGAAATTTAATCCACAAAGGAATAGATGTAAACTCTTCTCTTTTAGGTCAAATAAGAGGCGAGCACTTTTGAATAATAAATGTTTTACCGAAAAAAATCAAGGTTCACCAGACCAAACCAGATCATAATCTTCTAGACAAGAAAGTTTAATTAGAAGAAACTCTCACTCAGAGCAAGTAGCATAAAATCACCTTCCAATTTCCAGACCTTTTGCATGGTGGATTTAAGAGCTTCAAAATATGGCCTCTTATCTAAAGAATAACCTACCATAGTCATTCCCAATTTTCTGATGCAGTCAAAATATCGCCTTTAGAATAAGAAGCGAGATTATCAGAAGAAGGCATAAAAGAAACATAAAAAGGTTTAGGAGAAGGTTGACGAGATGTCAAGATCCCCGTCCAAGCCTTAATTCTCGAAGGGGAGAAACTAGAAACAGAAGAAGAAATTAAATCTAATTTTAGATGAGAAAAATCAGAAGAGGAATTCATGAAAACAACAAGAAAAAATAAAATACAAGCCACAAAAAACCAATAAAACTCCCCAATAACCACCAAGAAGATGAAAAGTAAGAAGAAAGCCGAACAGATCAACACCAAGAGAAGCCAAAGAACCCTTCAGAAGAGAAAAACTCCAAACTTATCTCACAATCCACATGCAACACCTTCACGAAACCCAAAAAACCCTAGAGCAAAACTCCATAGGCAAAACCCTCGAATTCTCACAAATTACAACTTCAGTACTTGGTTATTTGTGACAAAATTTTCACTTGAGCTCGTGGTATTTTTTTAGCAAAAATTTGCCAAAACTCTTTAGCTACCAAATGTATATGTCACATTTAATCCTAATTAAGATATACATTTATATACCTAAATTTTAATATTTATTTATATAGCTCTTCAATATTTAATTTAAAACATAAATAAATAAATTATAATTAATTGTATTTTTATATAATTTTAAATTTAAGATATTATGTAAATAAAAATAAATTTAGCATTTTCTAATGTTTTTAAAATCAGATCAAATAGGTCGGTTGCCTGGTCAAATTAGAAAATTTGATTCTCATTGAACCAGTAAGAACTGATTTGAATTGTTTGTTCAATCGGAAAATCATTGAATGGGTTTTGATTTGATTGAATTGGCTGGTTCAATATAAAATTTTGTTATTTGAATAAAAATTATATATATAAATTTGAGCTTCAATCAAATTTGTTCATGAGCTTTAATCAAAATAATTATGTATTTTTTGTTACAATTTTAATTATTATATATAAGTTATATTATATTTGAATAATTTAAGTATTTATTATGTCATATAGTATTGTTGCGAGCTAGAATATACACGACAATAGAGTTAAAAAAGTACATCTTAACATTGTACGAAGATCTAGCACACAAGCAGATATGATAGAGGGTGTATCGTTCATAAGAGACACCAAAGTTTTTATATGGAAACCCTCTAAAAATGGGAAAAAACTACGGGGCATGGCCAAGTTTGAATGAATCCACTAGTATTTGCAGTTGATTACAAATGAGGCCCTTCCTTGGGAGAAGGCCTTGACTTAATATCACAAATGTACATCATATAGTGCACATTACATGGTGGTAGTTACAATAATTAGCATAAACATGTTTGTTTGGTTAGCAGGACCATAGTCGATAGGATAGAGGTTGCAAAGACTTTAGTAGGTGACGGATGTCAGATGGACCGTAGTTGGAAAGAGATAGGGGTTAGAAAGGCCATACTCTATCAATGGAGGTCGCAAGGATTGTAGTAGGCAACAGAGGTTGGAAGGACCATAGTTGGTAGGAGACAGGGGTCCAAAAGATCATAGTAATAGAGTAATACTCTGGTAGAACTCTATGCATCAGGTGGTAGTATGGCAAAAGTCCAGGCCTCAGGTGGTGGTTCGATAGAAGTCCGGACATCAGGTGGTGATCCGAGAGAAGTCCAAGCCTCAAGTGATGGTCCGACAGAAGTCCAGGCCTCAGGTGGTGGGGGGTAGAAGTCCGAGCGTCAGGTGGTAGTATACCAGAAGTTCGGACCTCAGGTGGTGGTCCGGTAGAAGTCTGGGCATTTGGTAGTGGTTCGGGAGAAGTCCGGGCCTCAAGTGGAGATTCAGAAGAAGTCTGGGCCTTATGTGGTGGTCCGGTAGAAGTTCAGGCCTCAAGTAATGGTCCAGTAGAAGTCTAGGCCTTAGGTGGTGGTTTGGCGGAAGTATGGGCCTCAGGTGATGATCTGAAAGAAGTCTGAGCCTCAGGTGGTGGTCTGGTAGAAGTCCATGCCTCAGGTGGTGGTCCGGGAGAAGTTTGAGCCTCAGGTGGTGGTCTGGCTGAGGTCCGGGCCTCAGGTGGTGGTCCGGGAGAAATTCGGGCCTCAAGTGGAGGTCCGATGGAGGTGAGGACCTCAAGTGATAGTTAGGCAGAAGTCTAGGCCTCATGTGGTGGTCCGATGGAGGTGAGGGCCTCAAGCGGTGGTCCGGCGAAGGTGAGGGCCTCAAGCGATGGTCCGACTGAGGTGAGGGCCTCAAGCGATGGTCCAACGGAGGTGAGAGCCTCAAGTGGTGGTATGGCGGAACAATAACGTTAACATTGGTTCAGCGGAGAGCGATCTCCAATCTCTCTTGAATCCTTTGGCTTGGGGTCACCTTTCAAGAGGGGGTCTATTTATAGATTTCATAGAGTAGCATAGTCCGTAAATATGAAAGTGACTTGGATGGATGGCCGATGTTGAATCCCTTGATCGTTGACTGTTTGATGGACATTTGAATGTCTTAGTGATGTCGGAATTCAGTGATATTGGGCTCGTTGGATTCATCTCGTCGAGCCGCTCGATTCAACTATAAGCACGTCATGTTTTGAAATCATTTGGTAATCCAAATTGTGGTTCAAACCCTCCAACAATGCTTCAGACCCATTTGGACTCGGATTGAGTCGAATTTGGTGTCGTTGGATTCATCTTTCCGAGACGTTCAATTCGACTGTAAGTTTGCTGAAATCGGAGTTCAGATGGTCCTAATTTTAATTTTGAAAATTTCCAACTTGATTTCGCCTTGAGATTTGTGCCCGATCCAGCGAGGATGTATCAGGTACAATACCAATTTGACCTCCATTGAATCTTCTCCTTCTTGCACTGAGTCCTTATTGCTTATTTCTTACTAGATTATTTGCTTCGTTGCTCAATTGCCTTTTTGTTAGACTGCTAGTGCTCAATTGCCTTTTTTGCTCTTACTTCCACTATATTCAGTCTTTTTTTTACTGTTTTTTCTTCTTAAGCAGCAAATGCTGATAGGGTTTTGTTAGTTGCTACATTTTTTATGTTTAGCATCTGATCTTCTTAATGTAACCGTTTTTTACTTCATTAATGATATGGGCTGATGCCCCAAATATTCCCAAAAAAAAAAAAAAAAATCTTCTCCTTCTTATGTCCGTGTGGTTCATTTTCACAACTTTGACATTTTCCTATTTAATTTTAATTTTGTTGAGCATTCTCAGTTAAAAAAAAAAAGGGAAATTTACATACATACCACTTTATAATCCTATTTACATATCTAACACATAAAACTTTAATATTATATGAATATCACCCTATATTATTTTAATATCAAATATACTACTTAAATTTCTTTCCTACCACTCATATATTTCATTTCTACCACTCATATTTGGTATGAAAATGAACTATGGGTGGTATGTATATAATATTAGAGTTTTATGTATTAAATATGTAAATAACATAGTATTAAGTGGTATGTATGTAAATCTCCCAAAAAAAAAACGGTATCACATGGCTCGAAAAGGACAAAAAACTGTATGTTTCGTCAATGTAGCCGCTCTCCACCCTCTCCACCTTCTCCACTTCTCCAAGAGCTATCGCAGGCTATTTATGGCTATGTATGGGTGGTTGTCGCTTTCCAATACTCACAGAGCTTGCTAGATCAGCGAAGAGGATTCAAGAGGAAACAATCGTTCTTTTTCTTTCTTATCCGTCCGAATCTTTATAGGCTCGACATTCTCTTGCGATCGGGTTTTGTAATGGCGGGAGAGTCGCAAAAATGGATTTTGATGGCAACGGCGAGAGCTCCGACGAACATTGCCGTCATAAAGTACTGGGGAAAGCGGGACGAAAACTTGATTCTTCCAATAAATGACAGTATAAGCATAACGCTGGATCCGGATCATCTCTCGGCTACGACGACTGTTGCTGTTAGCCCTAGCTTTGAGAAGGATCGGATGTGGCTCAATGGAAAGGTAAGAAGAATGTGTTTAAACTGCTAAGTGTATGAGGTTTTGTCCTCATGCGTTCGTTGTTGCAGGAGATTCCATTATCTGGGGGGAGATACCAGAATTGTCTTAGAGAATTGCGGAGTAGAGCTGGCGATTTCGAGGATGAGAATCGAGGCATTCAGATTAAGAAAGAAGGCTGGAATAAGTTGCATTTCCACATTGCTTCGTACAATAATTTCCCAACTGCTGCGGGGTTGGCTTCTTCGGCTGCAGGTTTTGCTTGTCTTGGTAAGCATTCGATGTTTATCTTTTAATTTTTTTTTTTAAAGTATGGCAATCATTAATTAAATGCAGGACATAAGTTCAGTTACAGAGAAATAGACATAAGAGTAGTTAGGCAATCTCCAACCAAATGCGAGATTCAGTGCATTTTCGCCGGGGAACAATGCAATGCCAATATTGGTGTCGCACGTGAACCAAGAATATCATTTTTTTATTTTGAAAAAAAAAATTAGGTTAATAGATTTATTTCAAAATATAGGTTCTTAATTATTAAGATGAAATCCAGCTCCAACACATTATTTTTTAACTATAGGTTCTTCATTATTATAAATTAATTTCTTTATTTTAAATAATTTAAAATGCAATAGTATAATTAAAGTGCAACATTAATATATAAATTAAGATAAAATTCCGTTTAGGACTAGTAGAGAGGTGTGAAAATCTTAAAGGACAGTGGTCATTTATTTGTAAATTATGTTCATGACTAGTTGAGAAGTGTGAGAATCTTAAATGACAAATATAATTTAGTTGTCAATTCCATTCAAAACTAATTAAGAAGTGCTAGAATCTTAAACGACATAGATAATTGAGCTGTCAAATCCATTTATAACTAATAGAAATGTGAGAATCTTAATGGAGAGAGGTCATTGATTTGTCAATTCCGTTCATGACTAGTTGAGAAGTGTGAGAATCTTAAAAGAGGAGGTAATTGAGTATCAAATCCATTCAAGACTAGTAGAGAAATGTGAAAATCTTAAAGGATAGAGATCATTAATTTGTTAAATCAGTTCAGGACTAGTAGAGAAGCATGCAAATTTTAAAGGAAAAAAGTCATTGATTTGTCAAATTCGTTCAGGACTAGTAAAAAAGTATGAGAATCTTAAAGCACAGAGGTCATTGATTTGTAAATTCTGTTTAAGACTAGTTGAGAAGTGTGAGAATCTTAAAAGACATGGGTAATTGAGTTGTTAAATCCGTTCATGACTAATAGAGAGACATGAAAATCATGCTACTAGAATTATTATAAGTAAGGTTTGAGGAGCACGTCATGTATTGGTTGTATTTCTCTATCTGAATTAAGAATCTTTTATCTCCATCAACTTTATACCTATGAAAGCCTCTCTTATATAAGAATGGGCAGATGATGAAGAGCACAATCAAAAGCTAGCCAAAGAAATTCTAGATATTGAATCTTGTTCTAGTAACATGGACATTGAAGAAAGAGTGAAAGCTCTATTGGGATAACAAGGTAAGAAAATATATGCTATGCCTTTTGAAACTAATTTTACAGAACTTATTATACTTCAAGAGTTCCTGAAGCTTCTAGCAACCAGATACTACCAAATAAGGGGAATAACAATGGTTAAAGAGCAATTTCATAATTATGCCCAAATATGTACGAAAGGAATAACAAAATGTGTCATATTTAATAATCCCTATGAAGGTTGTTCTTGTCAAAAAAAGTATGAGATCTAAAGGATATATATTGACATAAAAGTTTTTGAAGATTTCGAATACAAAGATTTGAAGATATCCTCCTCAATCTTGCTGACATATGGACTGTTGAGCTCTATATGGATTGGAACTGAAAAGAAAATTGACATCTTTGGACAAAAACTAAAAGAAATTATAAAGTATTCCTTGTCAAGATCAACAAGAGCATTACAGTTAAAAATTAAATCATCTCCTCTTGAATGGAATGAGAATATAATAGAACTAGAAAAACACTTATATAAGATTAGATGTTTTGAAACAATTGCAAAACATGAATACTTTGAAAATATTGACATCTACTGCTTGTAAAACTTTTGGGATTTGACACTAAACATCCCTCATAAGAATCAAGTAGCTCACTGGAAAGTAGTAACTTAAGCATCAAATTGGTTCTGAAATCATGGTACTGATTTTTTCATATATAAACTTGTTGGAAAAATACTGATTGAAAAGATATTATTAGACTTTACATTGGCTCAGACATATTTCTTAAGTTTTGATTTTCAAACAAAAAATATTGATCTTGTAGAAATTTATATAATGATGGGACTAAACATTCATTATCCAACTATGAAAGAAATAATGGGAGAGTCTCCTGTTTCAAAACAATTTGTACCAACAAAAGAGGACCACGCCTAGATCAGCTAAAGTCTATCCGATGCTTTGTATTGTGTACTATATATTTCTTAGTTATTCGATGTGCTTTAAATTTATATATGATTTTATCTTAATTTATATATTACTGTTGTAATTTAAATATGCTATTGCATTTTAAATTATTTAAAATGAAGAAATTTATTTATAATTATGAAGAACCTATAGTTAAAAAATAATGCGTTTGGAGCTGTATTTCATTTTAATAATGAAGAACCTACATTTTGAAATAAATATATTAACCTATTTTTTATTTTATTTTTTAAAATGATGTTCACATCGCGAAAATGCCATTGAATCTCAAGTTCGATTGGAGCTTGTGGCGGATGGCAAATGCTAGTTTTGTGTTCAACTGGAGATGGCCTTAAGATTATTACATTTCTCAACTAGTTCTGAACGAAATTGACAAATCAATGACCTTTGTTCCTTAAGATTCTCACACTTCTCAACTATTCCTGAACGAATTTGTCAAATCAATGATTTATGTCCTTTAAGATTTTCACATTTCTCTATTAGTCTTGAACGGATTTAACAACTCAATGTATTACTTATGTAATGACTACATGCATAATTTTGCATAACATGATAATTGAGGATGAACATAATCTTAGTGCACCAGCTCACGAATTTATCACTCGCCATATTCTAAATTAAATTTTCAAGTTAGATTTTTTTTGTTAAAAAATTATAAATAGGTCTAATTCGAAGAATTGATAAATATAAATATATGATTAAAAATAAATTGTCATGACCTAGCCAGAGGCTCAAATTAACAAGGAGAGAACAGACGGCTGGACGATAAATTAAAATTTCATTTGCTAAATCTATCTCCAATTCACTGAAAGAGCAACTAAAACTTAAAAAACAAAATATAAACTGATGTAAAATGAATTAGATACCTTTCATTCGGTGCACTGCACCTATGATACACATTTTTATCTCTTATATATATTTTAGTTAATTACATTATACATGTAATTATTTTTCAATAGGAAGAGTGAGTCATAAAAAACACAGTAAGTAATTCATGCTTCTAAACTTTAGTAACTCAAGGCATTTGAAATAATATGCATGATTATTTTTTAAATATAAGATAATTTTATTTCAAGACTTTCAATAATATGTATATATCATTATCCATATCTTTAGTCATATTATTATGCTTTCTTATAAATAATATAACTATCATAGGAGCCACCGTCTAAAATAGTATAAATGAATGTACATTGTATCCTTAGCTAGTACTATAAGGGGGTGTGCTCCATTAGTCAACATGCACATGTAACAATATATATTTATTCATTTTGTTTTTATAACATTCATGAAATTTATATGATAATATGATATATAATATATAAATTTTCATTTAACTCAGAATGATTAATCGTTAGGTATGATTACCATAAATCATATTTAAATAATAATAAAAATTTTATAAACATGCATTATCTTTCAAAATATTTAATTGAAGAGAAATCAAAATTATCACTGTAAATAAAGAAACATAAGTACCACGTTGAACTTAAGTATCTTGCTTCTTTACTCTTACTCTTTGCTTCAAGATCAAAAGATTATCTCTTACATAAAAGACCTTCTTATTAACAATCTTTTGAAATGCTAATAATTTCTTTAACTTAACATTTTAAAATTTCTTCTCTTTTTAAATATATTTTATTCTTTATAAACTGAACTTAAAATTTTCTAAAAAAAGTAATTTTTCGTTCACAAAAGTATTATCTAAATTAACTCTCTTAATTTATAAATTAATTATTACTAATAATTTAATAAATAATAAAAATTCTTACATTATTCCCTTACACACAACTCTCGCTTGCCCTCTCGTCGATCTCACTTCCTTTTGGCAGCTCGCTCGCAAGCATTGTCTCCCTTCCTTTATTCCTTTCTCTATTTCTCTATTTCTTTCTTTTTTCCTTCTCCTTCTTCCTCTCAGATAGCCTTCTCTCGCACCAAGCCTATTATATTTGTGCGGTGAAAAAAGAGTGAGCGAAGCGAAGTTATCTCACACGAGGAGTCGCTACTTTTCGCCTCTGAACCATTTCCTCGCTCAAACGTGTGATTCGACCTTGCTAGAAGCTCCCGCGCTCACGGGTTGGCCACTCGATCCGCTTGTTTCGCGCGATGCTTCGCTCGCTTGATAAATAGATCCGGTTCAACTGAATCGGCCGGACTTGTTCTTACATAAATATTAAAAAAAAACATGAGAAAGAATTTGCCCAGAATATTATTTTTGTGTGTTATGAAATGGAGTTCGATTGGAGATGAGTTATTGTATTTTGGAGTGAAAAATTAATTTTTCCGGTTGGAGATGCCCTTATAACTGATGATGTCAAAATACATAAGAGTAGTTATAACTTAGGCCTATTATGTAGAAATTTGTTTGAAAGTTGTGTACCAATACTACAGAGCATCATGTATGAGATATATTAGTGGTGGTTGCTTCTGTCTGAACTTCTGCAGAAAACTATTTTCGTTAATTTGATTACAAACTGTTTTTTCCTCATGTTTTAAATGCTTATAGCGTTAAAATCATGAAAGTGATGTTTTGGATGACAGTTGGAAGTGTAACAATGAATTGTTCACCTAAATTGGAATTCAATTAATATTTTTTTGTAATGCTTTGAAATGCCTCTAGCCACATAATAAGTTTGATATAGGCAAAATATTATTTGGCAATGCGGTGAACTCATACTGAAGATTAATAATGCTTTCCTTGGAAAGTCTGTGAATTGGATGCTAATCAAATAGTGAGAAAGAACCAACCTGCATCATTTTTCATCATAAAATTGTCTCAGAAGGTCCCAACTTGAAAACATATTTGAATAAGTTTAAATTTATGCCATATTTTCTGTAAATAAGAAATTGAATGCCATTTTGTAAGAAACTAGAAAAAAATATAATTTCTATCTTCTAGTTTCTTATCTAATTTATTTCAGTTTTCTTGAGTTCAAAATTTTCTTTAATAAATCCCTTTATGCGTTCTAGTTTCTCACAATATATCATCCAATTTTTAATTGTGGAACATGTGTTGTAAATTTGAACTCATCCTGATATTTTTTCTCATCAGGACCTCGTCATTCAAGATTTTTTCCTTTTTCATCTTCTGCATATTGCAAATCTAGTGAACTTCTCATGTGCTAGGGAGTTTGGTGCCATTTTCCCAGGAAATTGGCTCATCACATAAGGCATCCTGCTACTTTTTTGCCATGACTACATGAACATGCTCTAATTTGGATGCTATCTTAATGCTTTTGAATGATAACCCTTCAATATCATATCGTTTATTTCATGTTATGATGCATTGCGCTCACTTTCTACCGCAGTGTTTTCACTTGCGAAGCTAATGAATGTGAAGGAAGAGCTTGGTCAGCTTTCTGCTATTGCAAGGTTTGTTTTCCAAGTTATGACCCTTTCTTTTCTTCATTCTTTTTTTTTTTCCCACTTAAAATGAAAAAATACCATCTTTGAATCCACGTTTTGCACTTATCGGATTAAGAATATGTAACCTGACCGAGGCCTTATTGCCTGTAGTTATCAGTAAACCTCAATCGTGCATATTTTTTCTCGTTCTGTTTAAAACCTTTGTTTTGGCCCTTATGCTTTGTCTGTTATCTAGTATTGTGTAATTAAAATTGAAAAAAATTGCAGGCAAGGCTCAGGAAGTGCATGTCGCAGTTTATATGGTGGATTTGTTAAGTGGACCATGGGAAATGTAAGACTGGTTATTATAGTGGATCATTTTTTTTGTTCTAATATCCAGTTGAACTTTCATTTGAATGTCTGTGATATTCAGGAAATGAGTGGGAGAGACAGCAAAGCCGTTCAACTTGCTAATGAAACACACTGGGAAGATCTGATTATTATTGTTGCTGTGGTATGCTAATCCATATATTTTTGTTATCTTAAGAATTGTTTATGCGGTATCTCTTATACAGTTTTCTTTAATCTTCTATGTTCTGCATATAAACTAATTGTTTGTTCCATGCAAGAACTGGATTATCTGATAGCTACATCGTATTGCCACATTGGTTATTGTGTTCTAATCTTCTAAATTGATAAGTTCGTTTGTTTGGCTAGGAAGTTCCCAGATAGTTATGTTATATATTGGAATGTATTTCCAATGTCGGCAGGAAGTGGCGGATGTTATACTCTCTGTGAGGCTATTCCCCTTTAAATTCATTTTTTTGTACTCATTATTTGAAGTGTATAGTTAGTTGTGGTATAAGAGTCCTTGGGCGGCATACCTTCATCAGTGAATCTTGTGTCCTAGGCCTCATTTGGGATGGTTTAATTTTGTCGTCTTTGTTTCGAAACATTAAAATTATTTTTACTTGTTGTTTGAATGTGATATTTTTATATAACTGTTTTTTTACAAAATTTTATTTTTTTATTATTTTCTAAAGCTTTTGGTATTTTCTTTTCCGTTAAAAACCTCCATTCTCTCAACATCTTAAAACTACATTTTACGAAAGGAACCGGGCAACCAAACAAAGCCCTACTGACATTTTTCAGGTCTTGATGCAGCAATGTAAATATGGGACCCACGACATAAAACTCATAGATTGATGTCCTCTACTTACCTTTATATGAGTAGTTGTTTTTCATGGCTTGAACCCCTCTATGTAAATATCAATAACAAAAATGAAATGTTTGTTTTTGATATGGATGTTGACCCCTAATACTAAGTTCCGGGATAAATTTTGGAAGGCAGATGAGTTTGTAGATAAGACACTACCCAGAGATTTCGCCCTCATTTTGCGAGAACTTTATGATCTGAGTTCTGGTTTCCTATAAGCGCAAGCCCCTATAGTTAATTACCCCTCTCGATCACGAGAGAGAACTTTTGATTAAGGTTAGTCGTCAATCAGATACGTAGATATACGTGTTATCTGGCATATAGTAGCAGCAATAGGAATTTGAAATTTGAAGGGTTTGATATATTTAAAAGTAGAAATTTCACCATCTAGCACTTAAAGCGGATGGTTGGGGAATGGATGATGGACCCGATTAAGATCCCATGGTTCTGTCGTCCCGGGACATCGTGATCCCTGGTCTACTTAGTCAAAGGAGGTAGTCGACCCAACCTGACAGAAGGATCCTTATCGGCAACCATGGGTTGCTTCGTCCAAGGGGACCTTGTAAACTTGGGGTGAGTATTTATCTAAGAGGACAAATTTGAATCCCCCTTAGCTAACAGAGGGCTTTGTGCTCTATCGATTATATCATATTGATTCATATCTCAAGGATTTGATGCCATTAAGGAACGTATTGGCGCTGGCCATAACCGGTATTTCGTGGTGTCATTTAGCGACAAAATCACTCGGTTCAGAGGATCCCGGGTCATAACCGTTTATCCTACTGTGCCATTTGACAACAAAATCGTTGGTTAGAGGACACGTATCACGCCCTTACTGGTAAGAGAAATGGATCTTAGTGATATTTTCGACTAGGCATTAGCTCTATGTGAGCTAAAGTAAATTTTAATTTGTTCACCTTGACAAACAGTTACGGAGGGTGGATGGATTTTGCATTTAGTGATTTGATGGATTATTTACATTTTAAATATTTTGAGTTTTGGAATTTTTGCGATATTTTTGGGTTTTTATGAGTATTTGAGTGACATTTCTAAATATTTGTGAACCCCTCCGGTCGAGATAAGCATTTAACTCGTCCATCATCGGGGTGACTTTAAAGTCACTTATATTTTCATAGGAATTTGAATTATTTGGATGAACCTTGTCAACTCTGTTGAGCTGCTGATAGAGGATCGAGTTTCATAGGTTTTAGCATTTATACTCGTCGATGAATGACTAATTCCCTTAAAGGTTCATTGTACGTTGCATTTTGTTATGACTTGGATTTCTCTTATATTTGTTTTCCAGTGTCGGGAGCCTAGAATGTCGTGTGTTTTATTTTTTGTTAACTTAGAATTTTATGTGGATTTTAAATTTTTTTTCTAAGTCATAGGTTCTTTTTGAAAAATTCGGCAACACTCCGGCGTCGTCCCCGCGTAGGGGGCTGCATCGGAGTGTGTAAGGCCTTCCCGCCTGCCAAGAAAGACAGTCACGGTAGGTATCAAATGACACCGCGGCCGCAGTCTCGTTCCCCGCTCACTAATAAAAACGGTCACGAGGCATTTAAGTACATGTCTAAAGCACAATATTTTCCCAGCCTAAAAGTAGTGACGGGTACTAAATAAAAAAAAAATTTACAAAAAAAAAATTTCTCCGATCGCTAATAAAAGTGGTCACGGGTACTTATATTTCATGAACATGAATTTCCCCGCTCGCTGATAAGAGCGGTCACGGGTACTTAAGTTTCCTCGCTAGCTAACAAAAGCGGTCACGAGTACTTATTTCATGCATAAAAATTTAAAATGCTAGTGTCGGGCTTTTTACCTTGGGTGTGCAGTAATCGAGGCGACGACGGCGAATGACAGCGACGGTGGAAAACCTGTGATGCACAATTTAAATTTTTTTTTAATTATTTGTGCAATTCAATTAATCATATATGCATTTTTTTATTTAAAACAAAGGCTAGAGAGAGGAAAAAAGAGAGAGCTCTCTTTCTAGAGAGAGAAAGAGAGGGAAAGAGAGGATTTGATGGGAATTTGCATGGAGAGGGATTTAGGAGGTGTAAGGAAATGGGGGAGAGGTTTAGAGAGAGAAAACCCCTTTCTTTTCAATTTTGGAGAGAGAAAGAGAGTGGAATTTTTTTCTCTCTAGGAATGGAATTTGGAGGCATAGTGGAGAGGAGAGATGCTTGGGATGGAAAGGGAG